TGAGGATGTGAATTCGGAAAGAGTGCCTTAACAGCGCTCCTGAACAATTTTGCAATTTTTTCTAACAATTTTCCAGAAGCTGGGTCCTGTTGAAAAAAATCGCCCTTCTCAAAGTGGCTAGATACCTCAGTAACAGATGGTGCACCGAAATGTCCCTTGGCTCGGTCTATCAAGTTGTATTCCTTTGTAAACAGGCAGTGATGGTGAGCGACCGGTAGTTGAGACCCCCGTCCAGACCATGATAAGGTTCGGCTGCTGCTTGTGGCGAATATTCCTTTCACTCTCACTGACTTCCTCAAGACCTCATGCGGGCATCCTCGGAGTTTGAAGATTGTAGCTCCGCTCCATGTGAGGAATTTTGTCGTCGATGAAAACGGTGCCCGCGTAATCGCCATTTTCGGCCCTCGACACCAGCTCTTTGAACTTTTTGTCTCTGCTGTGCTCCTCCCGTTGGATTGAGCAGTGGTGCTTATGCAACTTATAATGGACTGTGAGCAGTTGTTATCCGACCACTCTCTACATGGCTGTGTTTAGAAACTCCAGCGTTCTGGTCACCTTTCTCGAGCCAACCCGGGTTTGCTTCTTCATGCTTTTCCTGAGATCCAAGATGTCAGAACTTGTGGGCGGCCACAACAAAGACTACTTTTATTGGTCTTCTCTTTAGTGCACGGTAGGCCGCGGAGCGGTTGAAAATCCAAAGAAGCGCGATGATGTCCGACCTAGCTGTGTGAGAGGTTAGGCACTCTGTTGAAGTTTAGGCGCACCATGAGATGCAGGCCGAACGGTAAGCCGTGGAATTTGGCATGGTCATTGACAAGAGGATAGAGGATTGAAAGGTCTGCCAATCTCGGAAGAAAAGCTATAAACACCTACAGAATTTGAGCTCAAAATTTGGTGCAATATTTATGGGACACCCTGTAGTTAGAATGTGGAGTAGATACGTATCAAGTATGCGATCGTGCGATCGCACATTCGCACGATTGTATACTCGATAGATAGATATCTATTCTGCGGAACAACGCAAAGTCGCAATGTATGACTTGATCCCCAGGGCTAAGTCCCGACATATTGTATTACATTGCCGGGGTGGACGTTTGCGCTGCGACCTTCCCCCTCCCTTCCCACCTGCGCCAGTTTGTTTTTTACGGTAGAGCATGTGAAAGTCTTCCCAGAGTTTCCGGTGAAGAAAA